GTCACTGGAGGTTAGGAGCCCAGGTGCAGCTTAGCTGTCCTCTGACTCACAGTCTCTGACAAGGCTACAATCACAGGAGAACTAGAGTGGAGAACATTCCATGCCCAAGTTTAATCATGTGATTGTTGGCAGATTCAGTCCCTCAAGTATTTCCCTCAGGCTGAAATACTCCTGGCCTTCCTGGCACAGTCTGAGGCTGTCCTCTGTTCTTTGCCAAGGGATGTGCTTATGCCATGGCAGCTTGCCTTAATCAAGCAAGCAAAATAACACAACCAATGTGCTGTTTAGACAACACAAATCTGCAGCATTTTGTAAACTAAACCTTTTTGTTATCTTCCGTTTGTCAGAAGAGAATCAGTAGGTCCAACTCATGCTCAGAGACCAGAGGACATGAAAAGCAGGAAGACATTATTGAAAGCCATATGAGAGGCACACAGCAGGGGGTGAGAAGGAGGAACAAATGCCTGGACTTCCCTCTCAATCCATCCTCTTATCTCAACCAATGTCTCCCATTGCCCAAACTGATATAGAAGCCAGAGAGTAAAGCAGGCCAGAGGATGCAACCAAAGGGGAATGTTCAGACAGCCATATGTCTCTGTTGTTAGATAATATTGCATCCTTCTGGGTCTTTGATGGAGTTGAAGACTAAATAGCTATACTTGCACTTTTCCTTAGTTATGACAGAAAGTAAGTTCAGTAAAACTTTGGATTCACTAAGATAGGATAGATAATACATTATTTTCTTTGAATATGCTAACTACAAATGGACAAAATATTGTAAATATAATTCCTACTTGATAATTGTTTTTGTTGTATATAGTTATACTATGTTAAAGTTAAAACCTTTATTTTTATTTAGACAAAAAGAGGGAAAATGTAGTAGAATATTTTAAGATGTGTTACTTTTGTTCATTTGCATTTGTTTAACTCTGTGAAGCTCTGTTAGTGTGACTGTGTAAAACACCTGATGCTCTAATAAAGAACTGGCCGATAGCAAGGCAGGAGAAAGGATAAGTGGGGCTGGCAGGCAGAGAGTATATATAGAAGGAGAAAACTGGGAGGAGGGACCAAACATCTAGGAACCAGAGGAGGAGGAAGACTTCAGGGGCCAGCCACCCAGCTACATAGCAAGCCACGGAGTAAGATTTACAGAAGTTAGAAAACAGGAAAAGCCCAGAGGCAAAGGGTATATGGAATAATTTAAGATAAGAAAAGCTGGCTAGAAACTAAGCCAAGCTAAGGTCGCGCATTCATAAGTATAACAAGCTTCCATGTGTGACTTATTTGGGAGCTGGGTGGCGGGCCCTACAAAAAAGCAAAAACCTCCAACAAGAGGGGACATCAATGCAGAGGTAAGCAGATGGTGGCAAGGGGATGGATCATGGACCAAGAACAAGCATCATGTGTTTTGGATGACACTATTCCTGAGAAGACATGAATATAATAAGTCTACTCACTCAGAGAACCCACAAAAAAACTGCCACTCAGCAAACTAATATGTTTACTGGAGTTACCTACTGTGTGGGAGCCCACAAAGATTTTTCTAGTGAAATCTGAGCTTGCTTTACACAACAGGGCTGCATTAGTGGATGGCTGGACCACATACATGGTCACCATGTGTTTGGGATAGTCTACACTTGGCTGTGCTGTGAGGAGGTCTTTTGCCTCACCCCTTGGCATTCCTTTAAAAAGCCTTTTATTAGAGACAGAAGGGGCTGGTGGGTTTGGACCCAGGCCCTCCGGAGGCTATCCTGTGTTTTCTATCTGTCTCTCTCTATATATATCCTTCTATCTACGAATTTCTCATTTCTCCCTGCTCTAGTACCCTGGGGGAATAAGAAGGAGCTGGTATCCCTCACTAACGGAGTATGGACGAGGAGTTACTGTAGCAGGCTTTCTTTTAGGCCACCAACCAACTCCTAAATCGTGGCACGGAGACTTCTTATTAGTTATGAATGCTCAGCCTTATCTTAGCCCTTATTTTAATCTGTTTCTCTTTATGTTTTGCCTTGGGGCTTTTTACCTTTCTCTTCTTCTGTATATCTTATTTTCATTGCTTCTCATGTCTGGCTGGCTGGCAGCCTGGCTTCTAGCCCCGGGCATGTCCCTCTCTTTCTCCTTTGTTCTCTTCTCTCAGTCTTCTCTCTCTTCTCTCAAGCCTAGATCCCTCCTCCTATTTATTCTCCTCTGCCCACCAGTCCTGCCTATCCTTTCACAGCTATTGGCCATTCAGCTATTAATTAGACCAATCAGGTGCCTTAGTCAGGCAAGGTGAAACAAATGCAGTACATCTTCACATAATTAAACAAATGCAGCATAAATAAAGGCAACACACCTTTACATCGTTAACAAAGGCAGCATAAACAAATGTAATAATACATCTTTGCCTAGTTAAAATAATATTCCACAATAGGTTACTTATAGGAACATGTAAGACAAAAAGGCAGCTGCATCCCTGGCAGCCCACCCCAGCATAGATGATAACTCATGAAAGCTAGAGCCCTAGACCCCTGGGCATGACTTGCAGGATGCTCAACAGATTAGAGAGTCTTGTTTTTTGAATATTCCTTGACGTCTGTGTATAACCTTGGGAAGGGAAGGACATTATGAATCTGGTTAGTTTCAGGGATTTCCTGAGACATTTTATTTCCTGAATCTTAAGAAGCCTCCTTTTAGAATTTCAAGAGTCTTAATGGCATCCCTCTAGGATATGTTTCAACTTAGAGTAACTTTCCACACAGCAATGCCAGAAAACAAGCATCAGCAAACACTCATGCTGAAAGTCAGAAGCTCTAGACTGCAAAACATCACACAGGCCAGCTCCTCACCAGATACTTATTATAAGACAAATCTTAAATGGTCTTATTAATTAAAAAAAAAAAACAGAGCCAGATATTGGGGTAAAAACTGAGAGATCAGAGAACCAGAAAGAAGCCAGCCACATTCTTACTGCTAGGAAATCCTCAGCCAAGATAGAGCTACTTCCTATATACTCACACCTATATACCTTCTGTGCCCTGCCATCTTACTTCCTTTCTTCATCCAGCTACATCACTTCCTATCTCTGCCCAGCTCTATCACTTCCTGTCTGTCTATACAGACCTCCAGAACTCTATGGTTAGTGCTGGGGTTAAAGATGTGTTCCACCATGCCTGTCTCTGTTCCTAGTGTGTGGCCTTGAACTCATAGATCCAATGGATCTCTGCCTCCTGAATGCTAGGATTAAAGGTGTGTGCTACCACTACCTGACCTCTATGTTTAATATAGTGGCTCACTTTGCCCTCTGATCTCCAAGCAAGCTTTATTGGGGTGCACAAATAAAATATCACCACAAGATACACACCCTGTGTCTCTTTTGTTTAATATACATAGCCAATTCTACTCTGTATCGGTTACTTTTCCCTAACTGTGATAGAATACATTGGGAGGGAAAGGCAGTTAGGGGAGGAAGAGTTTATTTGGGCTTCAGTCCATCCTGGTGGAAAAGTACGGCCATGGGAGCAAAGGAGCTGAAGGCCAGCCTGGTATTTAGGAGGCACAGAGAATACAGAAAGTGTGTCCAGGCTATAAAACCTCAAAGCCTTCCCAGAGCAAAACACTTTCTCTGAATAGGTTCCCATAGGTTCCACTACCTCCCAAACGGCACCACCAGCTGGAGACCAGGTGTTTAAACATATCAGCCTATGGGAGACACTTCATGTTCAAACCACAACATACCCCAAATCCTATAATTTTTGGATTGTGGTGATTTGGAAGAAAATGACCCCCCATATGTCCAGAGAGTGGCACTCTTAGGAGGTATAGTGTTGTTGAGGTAGGTGTGGTTTTGTTGGCAGTGTGTCACCAGGCTTTGAGGTCTCAGATGTTCAAGCCAGGCCTAGTGTGGCTCACTTGCCTTCCTGCTGCCTGCTAATCTGGGTGTAGAACTCTCAGCTCCTTCTCCAGCACCATGCCTGCACACCACCATGCTTCCCACCATGAAACCTCTGGAACTATATAAGTCAGTCTCAATTAAATGTTTTCCTTTAAAAGAGTTGCCATGGTCATAATGTCTCTTCACAGCAATAGAAACTCTAATTAAGACAGGGATAACATTTTTCCTGAATGTTGATATAAAGTAATGAAAATGTTATGTAAAATAAGTGTTCTGAATTCCAAATTCATCCTCAATTATGTGAATATATCTCATTTATTCCTGGGGCCAGGAGGATTAGAGAAGAGAAGGACCATTTGGTGACATCTAGAAAGAATCTGCTGTGTGACCATTCCAGAGGTAATGTCAGAGTTTAGTTCTCTCTTAGAAAAGCCTTGTATAGATATCAACTTTGCTTCTGTTGACAAAAATAAGGGAGTTGCAGGGTTTAGTATGTAGCCCAGGCTGTCCTGGATCTCCCAATCCTCTTATCTCAGCCTCCCAAATATTATATTTAGATCCTGATTACTTGTTGAATATGCTGTGGAGACGGCTTGGGATCTGGAGGCAGGGTTTTTCCCTCTTCAGTATACAATACACACACACACACACAGTACATACATACACTCAGGGCATTGATGCAGTCACAATTCTCTGTCCCTTTGCCTTCCCAACTGTGGGTAAAGCTACCCACAGTTTTAACTCCCAGGCCCAAGCTCTCAGGTAGTAAGTAACTGCCAAGTCCTGTCTATGCATTTATTAAGTGAAGTGAACCCTCTTCATTATTGAAACCTAAGAAATTAGTCCTAAAAAAATCTCAACTCTCAAGTCTCATAACACAACTTTAATCTCATAATAACCTTTAGTTTCCTTAATGATAAGGACCTGTCACATGCACTCTCTGTCCCCAGTGTTGGCCAAAAAGTAAGTGCCAAACAAATGAGAGCCTTCTTCCTTTGAAGGGAAGAATCTCAATCAGCTTTACAGCACTTAGGAGGCATGTTTGTGTGTTTGCTCCTTCAATGTCATAATAGTTCTGCATTATCACTCACATGTGTTAGAGCCAGGAACTGAGATAGATGATCAGTTGCTCCAAAAGTCACTCAATTTATTACAAATAGTAACACAGAAGTTCATCCACAGGTCTTTGGACTTGAGTGCATGTTCCCTCCATTCTTCCAAAACTACCTAACTCTATAGGTCCAAAACCCAACACATACTTCTAAAACCCAGAAAATGCTAAAAAATAAAAGCCCTTTCACAAATCATTTGGTAGAACAACTTGACTATTACTTAGCTCACTTGTTATAATTTTTTTCAATTTTTTTACAGTTTGCTGTAAGGTGACATATTTATAACCCTTCTTTAGCTCGTTTTATGAATAGTCAGTTCTGCAGTTAAAATGTGGTTGGCAATGAGGTAGTCTGCTAATAAACAACACAGTCTCCATAATACTTTCTACAATTAGAAAAAAAATGTATCCTTCCAAAACAAATCTGATCAAAAGTTCCAAACAAGTCATTAAATAGTTTTTTCTTTGATGGTCCCAGATCTTGTCATGCTGGAATCTCCTTAAGTACTAGGAAAACATTTTGTGCATCTTTTGGTTTGCCAAGCCAAGTCCAGTGGGCAACAAAATAATCATTCAAGTGGTGTCAATGCTGCGTGTGTCCTTGTTTCACAACTGCTTTGGAAGATGTTTGAGGAGACGTCCTATACTCCAGAGAGAGAGAGAATTTAAGAATAAAATTAAATAAGCAACTTCTTAGGAGTCAGAAAGCAAGTATAAATTAATGGCAAGACTACAGCCCTAATTACAGGACCTCTCTAGGCTCACACACCTGTTTAAGGATGCCTTGCAGCAATTACCTCCTGATGAAACCATCCATTCTAGAGGGAAGTTCACTATTAAGACACATAATATTCTAAAGAGAGGTTAAAAAAATAATCCATCCTTCAGGAAAGCTCCATAAGTTCAGGAAGAAAATAACTCAAAAAAACTTCAGGAAGCCCCTGAAACTGACCAGCTACTCTAGGCCCCTTCTTCCCCAAGCATATAAAAGCAGTAATAACTGCTGAAATACATTCTCAGACCATCTGAGCTGCATAAAAGAGGCTCAGACCAACAGAACTGGCTGGAAAGGGCACTTTCCAAACTGTTGAGCTGGCTGCAGGCTGTGCAACAAGCTCCAGGATTTCCTGGGACAGGTTCCAGTAACTCTTGGAAACTTCTCCCAAAGCTCTAATTGATCCACCTGACATAGGACCTGCTCTGGGGCAAGAGGATAGACAAGTTAACCTCAAGAAACAGAGACCCATCCACATCAACAAAGACTACAGTCCTCTCACCTCACCCTATATCAGAACCACCTTGATAAGGTTGGTCCTGGGACCAGGGAAGGAGTAGAAATACATAGTTGCCAATGCCAATCAGAGAACACCCTCACCTGCAACTGTTTGGCACTTGGCTGAAGTGTTGGGTTGGAGCATCTTCTGGGATGGTACCATTCTACTTTATGATGTAGGATGTTTCCTCCTTTGTAGAAGACAATTTCCATGACCCCAAAGGGGCTACTTCTGCCCAGGAGGCTGTGGCCTGTTCATCCCTCACTCCTGTCTGAACACAGAAGGAAAGAGTTTTAGCTGCAGGTTGAGCACAAAGATCAGAATAGAGAAAGAAAGTAAAAAGAAGGCAAATATAGAAGGAAAAGCTTTGAGGCTTTCCAAGATGAAATACGGCACGGAGGGGGCCTAAAACCAGAGAATAAAGAACATTTCCAAGAGTAAATGCCTAGACTATGAGAGCGAGCTTATAGAACTGGTAGTAAGAAGACTTACAGTGAATAAAATGAGTAAAGAAGGCAAGTTAGAAGTTTTTCTCCAGCTCCCTGCACATTAAAACCTTATAGGCTTAAGGCAGGAAGATATATAGTGGCACTACCATTCAAGGTGAACCATGGCCTAGCTGCCTTTTCCTTCCTGAATGTATTTGTCATGGTCCCTTCCACATACCCTCTTCATAAGTCACAGTACAATGCCTACAATTTCACAAACATTTCTACTGGCCATTGTTCATCCCTGGCCTGACCCAGAATAACCCTCCTCACTTTCTTCCTCTCTGAACCCCTACCCTTCCTGCTCCTTCTCTGCTACCAACCCACCAAAGCCACCACCACCTTTCACCTGGATTTCTACAATTTCCTCTTAACTGGTCTCTGGTTTTCCATCCTTGCCTCTGCTCAGGACTACTAAACACAGCAGCCATTCTAAAATTACCACACATGTTGTCATCTCTGCCCTGAGAACTCTCCACATGGCATCATCCCACATAACCCAGGAAAAAAGCAGTCTTTCCAGTAGCCTACGAAGTACTCCAGGGCCAAGATGTCATTCCTGCCTTGCTCATGTCCAGTGGTGATCTCTGTAATTCTGTTCCATCTGCACTGTCTTCTTGGCTGTTCCTCAGGCATATCAGCCGTGTTCCTGCCCCAGGACTTGTTTTTCCTTCTTCCTAGAACACTTATCCCAGGTAGCTTACTGGCTCACTCCTGCACGTCCCACAGATCCTGACTCACATGTCACCTTTTAGTCAGAGTTTTCTTGGCCAGTCTTTCTAACATGTCAACTTTCCCCGACATTTTCCTGCTGTATTTTTGTCCTTCACATTTCTCCCTGGCTATGCACAACTTACTCATTTTCTTTCTTTACTAGGAAGCAAACAAATGGAGATAAAAGTATCAGTCGGTTCTTTTACATTGAGCCTACAGTGTTTAGAACAGCCCTGAACCATTACAGACTCTCAAGAAACACAGGTGAGCACTGAATGATTCAGCTCATTCCACCCACCTCCGATCCCTTCCATGATAGGCATCTCTTTGGAAGCAGGTCTGTGTGGAATTCAGTCAGTGTGCCTAATGCCTGACAGTTAACAGATGGTGAGCAAGTTGTCTGCACTGAAGTGTCTCCTCTCTCTCTCTCTCTCTCTCTCTCTCTCTCTCTCTCTCTCTCTCTCTCTCTCTCTCTCTTCCCCTAGACTCAATCCCTCAGTCTCACCACTTGCACTGCAACAAAGCACCAACTGCAATCTCCTTTCCCCACTGCCCACATCTCCTGTGGACCCCACAGACCATCACCTCCTAACCTCTCTCTCCCTACTCATTGACATATCCCAGTCCCCAGATCTAGCAGGCACCCGCTGCTCAACTACAGGACACACCTGCCAGAAAACCAGGTAGGCTGCCCTCAGACCTTCTCCTCTCTCTATTCCCCCAGATCCCTCAGTCTCACCCCTTGCACTGCAACAAAAACCAGCTGCAATCTCCTTTCTCTCCCTGCCCACATTCCTTGTGGATCACACAGACCATTCTCTCTTAAAATCACCCCCACCCCCACCGCCGCCTCCATTCATCACTTTATCCCAGACTCCAACACCAGTAGGCATTACCTGTGAACATACCAACTGAGCCTGCCAGTAAAACAAGCAACACACAGCCATCATACTCTCCAAAAATCCAGAGGAAACAGAAACTAAAGAACAAAACACCCACCCAACAAAGACAAACCTAGAAATCAGCACCTAGACCTGTAATCATCCCAAATCCAGATGCAAAGACACCAGCATAAAACACAATAACAGCCAGGACAGTATGTCTCCACCAGAGCCCAGATATTTACCTCAGCAGGCCCTGAATATTCCAACATAGCTGAAGCACAAGAAAAAGACCTTAAAACCAACAATATAGAGATGCTAGGGGTCCTTAAAGAGGAAATGAATAAATTCCTTGAAGAAAGTGAAGAAAAGGCAAACAGTTGAAGGAAACAAATAAAATTGTTCAAGACCTGAAAATTGGAATAGAAGCACGCGCGTGCGTACACACATACACACACACACACACACACACACACACACACACACACACACACACTGAGGGAATTCTGGAAATAAAAAATTTAGGAATTTGAGCAGGAACTACAGAGACAAACTTCACCAAAAGAGTGCAAAACATGGAAGAGAGAATCTCAGGCACTGAAGATACAATAGAAGGAATTATAGATACATCAGTCAAAGAAAATGTTAAATCTAAAAAATTCCTGACATAAAACATCCAAGAAATCTGGCACACTATGAAAAGACCAAACATAACAATAATAGCAATAGAAAGAGAAAATCCCGGCTCAAAGGCCCAGAAAATATTTTCAACAAAATCATTGAAGAAAATTTACCTAATCTAAAGAAAACAATGTCTATAAAAGTACAAAAAGCATACAGAACACCAAATAGATTGGACCAGAAAAGAAAATACCTTGCCACAAACTAATATAAACACAAAATGTACAGAACAAAGAAAAATATTAAAAGCTACAAAGGGAAAAAAAGCAAGTAACATATAAAGGCAGACCTATTAGAATTACACCTGACTTATTAATGGAGGCTCTAAAAGCCAGAAGGACCTAGACAGATGTGCTACAGACTCTAAGAGACCACATATGCCAGCCCAGACTACTATACCCAGCAAAACTTTCAATCACCATAGATGGAGAAAATAAGATATTCCATAATAAAACCAAGAAAATAAGATACTACATGATAAAGTCGATATATATATATATCCCAGAAAGGAAAACTCCAACCTAAGGAGGTTAACTACACCCATTAAAACACAGGAAATAAATAATCTCACACCAGCATAACCAAAAGAGACAAACACACACATACATACACACAAACACACCAATAACAACAACAACAAAACAATCATTGGACATTGATATCTCTCAATATCAGTGGTCTCAATTCCACCAATATAAAGACACGGACTAACAGAGTGAATGAGAAAACAGGGTCCATCCTTTGGCTGAATCCAAGAAACATATTTCAATGTCAAGGATAGACATTACCTCAGGGTAAAGGGTTAAAAAAAGATATACCAAGCTAATAGATCTAAGAAGCAAGCTAGTGTAGCCATTTTAATATCTAACAAAATAGACTTCAAACAAAAACTAATCAAAAAAGGGTGGGGAAGGACACTACATACTCATCAAAGGAAAAATCCACCAAGATGATGTCTCAATTATTAACATCTCTGCCCCAAGCACAAGGTCACCCACTTTTGTAAAAGAAACACTACTACAGCTTAAATAACATATTGGCCCTCAAAAATTGGTAGTGGGAGACTTCAATACCCACTCTCACCATGGATAGGTCATACAGACAAAAATTAAGCAGAGAAATACTGGATCTAACAGGTGTTATAAACCAAATGAACCTAACTGATATTTTCAGAACATTTTATTCAAACACATATACATTCTTCTCAGCATTTCATGAAACATTCACCAAAACTGACCACATACTCAAACAAAGCAAGTCTCAACAGATACAAGAAAACTGAAATAACCCCTTTCGTCCTATCAGATCACCATGGATTAATGCTGGATATCAACAATTGAAACCTTACAAACTTGTGGAAATTGAACAACTTTTGCTACTGAATGAAAGGTAAGTGAAGGCAGAAATAAAGAAGTTAAAGACTTTCTAGAATTCAATGAAATTGAATACACAGCATACCCAAACTTATGTGACATAATGAAAGCAGTGCTAAGGGGAAAGTTCATAGTACTAAGTGACCATATTAAAAAAAAAAAAAAAGCTGGAGAGATCTCATACTAACAACTTATCAGCACACCTGAAAGGTCTAGAACAAAGGAGGAGAGGGAGGAGGAGGAGGAGGAGGAGGAGGAGGAAGTACATCCAAGAGGAGTAAACAGCAAGAAATAACCAAACTGAGGGCTGAAATCAATAAAATAGAAACAAAGATAACAGTACAAATAATCGATGAAACAAAGAGTTGATTCTTTGAGAAAATAAACAAAACAGACAAACCCTTACCCAACTTACTAAAAGGTGGGGAGAGAATATACAAACTAAGAAAATCAGAAACAAAAAGGGGGACATAACAGCAGACATCAAGGAAATCCAGAGAAACAAAAGGACATGCTTTAAAAACCTGCACTTCACCAAATTAAAAAATGTAATAGAAATAGGTGACTTTCTCCATAGGTACCACTGACCAAAGTTAAATCAAGATCAGATAAATGAATTAAATAGATATAAAACCCCAAGAGAAATAGAAGTAGTCATTAAAAGTCTACCAAGCAGGGGGGGGGGGAAGCCCAAGGCTAAATGGTTTTAGGGCAGAATTCTATCAGACTTTCAAAGAACAGCTAATGCCAATATATCAAATTATTCAAGAAAATAGCAAACAGAAGGAAGATTGCCCAATTCACTCTATGAGGCCACAGTCATCCTAATACCAAAACCACAAAAGACCCAACAAAGAAAGAGAATTACAGATCAATTTCCCTTATGAACATAGATGCAATAAAATACTTGCAAACCAAATCCAATAACATGTGAAAAAGATCATCCACCATGATCAAGTAGGCTTCATCCCAGAGATGCAGGGATGGTCCAATATACTAAAATCAGTCAATGTAATTCACCATATAAACAAAGTGAAAGAAAAAATGATAGTCTCATTAAATGCAGAATAAGACTTTAACAAAATCTAACACCCCTTCAGGATAAAAGTCCTAGAGAAATTAGGTATACAA